CATGTGTGTACCTGTGCAATAATTTTGCATGTTCTTCACATGTACCCCAAAACCTAAAATGCAATAAAAATAAATAAAAAAAATAAAAAATAAAAAAAATAAAGTCCCAGGCAACATCCAACATGAGCTGCCAATCATGTGGATGGGCCGCCTTGGATATTCCAGCCCACTGGAGCCCCCTGATGCCTGCATCCCCAACCAACATCACATAAATCAGAAGAGCTTCCCAGCTGAGCACAGTCAACTTATAGGATAATGAGATTTAAGATGGTTATTGCTTTAAACCACTAAGTGTTGGGGTAATTTGTTATACAGCAAACCAAAACATATGTTATACCCACTTATGAAACTATAAAATATTTCTTTACTTTTTTTTTGAAAATGATTAGTCACTCTATACAGAAAACTATAGACAATAACTTGCTGCCAGTTTTTGTACAGCCTGCAAGGTAAGCATGATTTTTACTCCATAACATGGTGGAAAAAAATCAAAAGAAGAAGATTATTGTATGAGCTATGTGAGAAATTTATATGAAATTCAAATTTCAGTATCCACAAATAAAGTTTGAATGGAACACAGGCATATTTATTCAGTTACATCCTGTCCACCACTGCTTTGTCATGAGAGCAGGAGAGTTCTGTGGTGGTATCAGAGACCATATGGACCACAACAACTAAGATATTTACTGTCTGGCCCTTTCCAGGAAAAGTTCACCAACTCCCTTCTGTTGAGCATTAAATATGTGTCACCATTTTGAACTTAAAATCCTGCACATAAGAGCTTGTATGTGGCCAGGTGCTGTGGCTCATGGCTGTAATCCCAGCACTTTGGGAGGCTGAGGCGGGCAGATATGAGTTTATGAGTTTGAGACCAGCCTGGCCAACATGGTGAAACCTGTCTCTACTAAAAATGAGCTGGGCATGGTGGTGGGTGCCTGTAATCCCAGGTACTCAGGAGGCTGAAGCAGGAGAATCATTTGAACCCAGCAGGCAAAAGTTGCAATGTGTTGAGATTGTGCCACTGCTCTCCAGGCTAGGCAAGAGAGCAAGATTTCATCTAAAATAAAAAATAATAATAATAACTTGTATGTGCCTGAACATTTATTTTTTATTTTTTTAAGTTTAATCATTTTTATTTCAAGTGTATTTTAAAAATCATAAATGGGGCTTCGTAATCTAAAGTTGAAACATTTATCCTTCATAGCTTCAGAATTTGACAAGGAATTGTAGACCATGCTTTTCAAATCCATTAAACTGCTTCATTCCAAATGTACGGTTTTAGATAACTATTATACACTTGTTGATAAGGGTTTTCTGAAAACAGTCTATCAAATATAAAGAATGGTTTCTATCGAAGAATCAGCAGTGAGGGAAGAAATATTAGACACCTATCAAGAAATAAATTATTCATTTTAAAAATAACAGAACCAGTGCTGCTCTCTGTCATGAAAGAGAACATGGAAAATTTATTTTTATAGACTTTGGTAATATTTTATTCCCAACAGAGGCCTTCAATCCTTTTACACACAGTAATCATCAGGACTTACTGAGTAAAAATCTCAGGTATTAACCATGGCCCTAAAACGTGCTATTCCAAAGAGGAACAGGTTACTTTTGAGGAAAAAAGCTGCCTTGGTGACCTCCCTCAAATGCTTATTTTAAATAAAAATAGTTGATGGAAATATTTTTTAAACCAACTTTGGGCATAATATGGCATGCTGCCCATCAAACAAAAAAGGAAATCAAAACTTTCTTTCCTTTTATAATGAGTTCTCCATCTTTACTTTTAAGATTACAGTGTATTCACCTTTTATGCTTGTTTCCTTTTTTTGACTGCCTAATCCAATATTTAAATTTTTTAAAGTCTACATTTCAATGTAGTAAGAGTTATTTTTCAAATAATCTTTATAACCCAGAATGCAGACACCAGAGCAACGGTCTCAAGTCACACTGTTTGACTATAATAAAGAGATGAAAAGGAATGGATATCTGAAGATAGGTATTCCCTCTGCTCTCTCTGAAGGTGAGCAAGCTCTTAACACATGAGCAACACAGAACTCCATTCCTCTGGAGCTCCTTTAAACTCAGAATGATTCAATTCAGTAAGTCAATATATTATTCTTAAAAATTAAAGTTTGGTCACTAAGAAGGACTGAACAAAAATTATTCCCCTCCCATCAAACACAATCAGAAAAGTTCTATCAGGCCCTCTTCTCCCCACAAAAACAAGGAAGTAGATGAGGCTGAAGACGTTAAAGTGTCACATTCCGGTTCCTAAAACATCGCGGCTATTTGCTCAAAGTTGTAGATTTATGTATTTCCTTTTCCAATATGTCCCCATTTATAAGTTTATTTCCACACATACAAACGTGCACATGTGTGCACATGCACACACACACACACACACACACAATCTCAAGTAAGACACCTTTTCGTATTTGCTGATAAATTATGAGGATTACGAACTAGGTGTGTACAGGGTTTCATAGGTGCTTTGTAAACATCAGAGTCACTTGGGTCCTTTCCTCTATAAGCCTAAAATCAAATTATGAAACCTATGACCACTACTTTCCCAGACGCTGTTCACAGGCTGCATGTTGACGAAGGGCAGAGAAAATATCTTCATAACTGATGTTTAGGTGGGAAGGCAAAGAGACAATCTCAGTCAATCTGATGTGCCAGGGAAGAAAGCCTAATGTGCTGTCCACAGGACCAAACTTCAATACTAAATCAGCATCAGGACAACCATTTGAACTAAGTAAACTGCCTAACATATCTACATCCAAATTTGTGGGTCTCTTTTGCTTCTAGGCTACTAACTGGCAAAAGTCCTGAGCAGCTCTCACAGTATCTGCTTTTCCATCTGTCGGGGACAGCACCTTCACTGCCAAATGACAATTTGAAACTTGATCATCTTTGTCATTACTATTTGCGAACTCTGGTGAATATTTTGAACAATCTAGGCCCAGAAGTTCTTGCTGTTGTTTTAAAATTTCATCCATCAATCTGGAATTATTTCTTTTGAAAATGCCTGTAATCCCAGCTCTTTGGGAGGCCAAGGCAGAAGGAACACTTGAGGCCAGAAATTACAGGCTAGCCTGGGCAACATAGCAAGACCCTGTCTCTTGGTAGTCGTAGACGTGAATGTAGTAGATGCCCACGGCCATGCACCACACCACGAGGCTTGCAATATCCGAGAAGCTGGGCTCCTGCTCCACCTCAGTGAACACCAGGCCCATGCGCACAGGCAGCTTCTCCAGGGAACGGCAGTTCTCGCTCCAGCGCAGCCGGTGGTGGGCGGCGGCCAGGCACGACCCCCCCCGCCCCCCGCGCGGGTGCCTGTGGAAACGGCGGTTCCTGCCAATCGCTTGGGTCTTGCGGAGCGTGAAGCCCAGCGGCGCTAGGACCGCGGCAGAGGCGGCGCGCCTGCAGCGCCGCCCAATGCAGTTCCAGGTGCTGAACCGAACGCGGAGCCGGGAGGTGAACGTGCGGTGCAGACAGGGCAGCGCGTGCAGCATCCGCCACACCAACTCGTACACCCGCGTCATACTCTTGTGGCGCTCGGGCACCCTCTCTCCCTCCCGCCCGCTTCCGCGGCGTGACGTCTTTTTATCCATTCCTGCGGCAGGAGCTGGCCATCGCCTCGCGACCCACGCCCCCCCACTCCCAAACCCCTTTCCACTGCCAACACTTCACCTCGCCCCCGCCGCCATCTTCCTCCTCCTGTCTGAACACTTATTTAGGGCTTTTCTACTTATTTATTTTTAATGTTTATAGCGACGCGATCTCACTCTATTACCCTGGCTGCAGTCCAATTGTGCAGTCATAACTCACTGCAGCATCCATGTCCTAAGGAACTTTACTCCCAGCTCAGCTTGTGTCTGGGCTTTCTCACCTAATGGCCACCAGCACCCTGGTGGAAGGGACCGTCCAGGGGGAGCAGTTGGCCCCATCTCAGCTGGAATCTGCCAGGGCAGCTTGGCCTGCAGCTTGCTGGAGTCCATACTTTTCTGTGAGCTCACAGGGCAGATCCTAGGAGCCAAAACTGACCCAGAGGGAATGGAACTCCGGTGGCCAAAGAAACCACTGCCCTCTGTCCTCTTGGCATGCAACCTTGGTTCCACCCATGAAGACCAGAAGGTGGCAGTCTCTGGTTTTCCAAAGACTCGTGGGGTAGGAGTCCAAGACAGAGCACATACTGGCCTCTCACCGTGCCCAGCAGTGGCCTCTGTCATTGCCTCTGGAGTTAGCAGCACAGGTCTTCCATCCAGTCCCCAAAAGGAAGGCAAAGCTGCAGCGCCCATGTGGGGGCCCAAGCCTCGAGGGAGGTTCCACATGCCTTTGAAATGACTACTCTGCTCTGGCTGGAGGCTCCGGGTCCTGCCGCCTGACCCCAAGAGCCTCTCTCAGCTCAGGCCCTGCCTCCTGATCACTCAGGGAGCTTGGCCTCCCAATGACTGTGACCAAGATGGGCTGTGTACTGCCTTTCAGAGTTCCTCCTGCTCTGGTGGACCCAGCTCATTGGTGCCCTGGATGGCTCCCACACCCCCAGCAACCAGAGCTTCTCTCTCCAGGCCCCCTGGGAACTGTGCCTAGCCCATGCCTTGGGCTGTTTCTGGATGCATCCACTGCTCAGCCTCTCAAGGACAAAGGCTGTGTGTGAGCCCACATCGATTGTCAGTGCTTACCATGAGCCTGGTACAAGGAGGCACCCACTGGTGGTTTGTATCTGGTCAGTGACAGGGCAGTGTGACCACACCTTCAGAGTGGAAAGATAACAGGCTTCGAGAACAGACAGCTGTGGGCAGTTGCAGCCTTTGGACAAGTGTTAGCTTCTCTGAGTCTCAGTTTCCTCATCTGCAGAAAGAGAATATTAGCACCCATTTCCCTACAAAATAGCACAGCCACACAAGACTAAAGAGAGGGCTTCTTTTGCCCAGCGTGGTGACTCACACCTGTAATCCCAGCACTTTGGGAGGCCAAGGCATGTGGATAACCTGAGGTCAGGAGTTCGAGACTAGCCTGACCAACATGGTAAAACCCCACCTCTACTAAAAATACAAAATTAGCTGGGCATGGTGGCACATGCCTGTAATCCCAGCTACTAGGCAGGCTGAGGCAGGAGTATAACTTGAACCCAGGAGACCGAGGTTGTAGTGAGTCGAGATCGCGCCACTGCACTCAATCTGGGTAACAACATCAAAACTCTGTCTCACTCTGTCGCCCAGGGTTGAGTGCAGTGGTGCAATCTCAGCTAACTGCAACCTCTGCCTCCCAGTTTCAAGTAATCCTCCTGCCTCAGCCTCCCGAGCAGCGAGACTACAGGTGTCTGCCACCATGGCTGGCTAATTTTTGTATTTTCTAGTAGAGACGGGGTTTTACTGTGTTGGCCAGGCTGGTCTTGAACTCCTGATCTCAAAGGATCCACCCACCTAAGCCTCCCAAAGTGCTGGGATTACAGGCATAAGCCACTGCGCCCAGCCCTAAGGCTCGAGAGAGGTTTTATAGAGACCAACTGGATGAAGCCCTGGGTACCAGATCTGGCACAGGCACTCAAAAAATTCAGTCCCGGCACTCCAGCTCTGGGCTTCTATGTAACTGGCATTCTGTGCCCAATCCATCAGAAGCTGACCTGAGCTGGGGTGAGAGCCTTCACAGTGTCCTACAGGGAAAGTGCTGGGCCAGGGTCTTCAGCCCTGGCTTTTGGGCTTATCCTGCCACTTCTTGCCTATGTGTGCAAAGGAGAGCTGCCTTTTCTGTCTGAATCTCAGGTTTCTCATCTGTAAAATGGGTGTTCCAGCCTGCGTGGGCCACCTCACAGTGGAGGTCCAGGTGCTGTATAGATTGTGAAGGGCCATGTGTCAGGTGGCCCAGGCCACCCAGGGACTGGGCAATCTCACTGGCAGGTGGGCATAGGGATGGCTTTTTTCCAGGAGGGTCTGCCTGGATGGTAACCCAGTGAGAGTCCTCAGTCCCCAGCCGAGCTGCTCTGGGCCCAGCCTGGTCTGAGATCCCATCCCGAAGTTTCCCAAGCTGGACAGGCTGTCTCTGGGTGCCCACTTCCCGCCGTTCCATTTTATTTGCCTGTGCTTAAGCCAGCTCAGGCTTCCAGCATTATTATTAGATAGAGTCTCGCTTTGTTGCCCAGGCTGGAGTGCAGTGGCGTGATCTTAGCTCACTGCAACCTCTGCCTCTCAGGTTCAAGCGATTATCATGCTTCAGCCTCTCAAGTAGCTGGGATTACAGGCACACAAGCATACCTAGCTACTTTGTTTTAGTAGAGACAGGATTTCACCATGTTGGCCAGGCTGGTTTCGAACTCCATACCTCAAGTGATCCACCTTCCTCGGCCTCCCAAAGTGCTGGGATGACAGGCGTGAGCCACTGCATCTGGCCAGGCCTCCAGCTTTTGTAAGAGACTCACATCTGCCCACTTGATGAAGCTCTGGGCAGAGCAAGAAGGAGAAAAACCAGTATTTACTGGAATGGATGAGGGCATTCCAACAGGGACCTTTTGCTGAATGGAGGCAGCATGGAAAAGGGGCAGGTGGGACCCAGATGTACAGGAGCCCGAGGCTGCCCCTTGAGGCTGTCCCAGGAATCCGAGCCCAGCTGCAGCAGCCCCCAAGATTGATGAGGAGCAGCGCGAACCTCTCCCCACCGAGGATGGTGGGCGTGGGGTGGGAGCCGGCCCAGGATGTCCAGGCGCGATAGCCACTGCTTAGGCACTGTCCCAGGCGGGCACAGCTAGGGGCAGGCCCAGCACAATGCAGGCCACCGGCTCAGTGAGCGCAGAGAGGGGTCCCCAGTTTATGCCAAAAACATGTCTTCTTAAACTTTCTCCTCAAGCCTGTCTCATATGCTGGTTCCTGTCTCTCTCTAATAGTTCCTGGGTGCCTGGAAGCAGAGACTTGGCCAGTTCTCCCCAAGCTCAGCTACAGGCTTCCGGGATCCAGGCAAGGTCTGGTTAACCCTGCCCACCTTTTGGGGAGGAAGGCCGGTTGCTCCCCTAGCCTCCACTGTGACATTAGGAGGCAAGGGCAGTCAGGCTGATCACTAGTTTCATCTGGGCCCCCCAGGTGATGAGATGGGCAGTGATGGGTGCATTGGCAGCTAGGCTGGAGTGGCATGGCCAGCTGCCCTAGGCACCATCTTCCCTGCCTGTCACCACTCCTGTCTGACCAAGTAGCAAAGCAAGGTCACAGTGACAAGATCCAGAGGTGGGAGGCTCCAACTGGAGATGGTGCTGCTGTCACAGGCCACCGAAGCAGCAATGTGACAGCTTCTTATGGTGGCAGGCTCTGTCCCCCTGGCTCTGGCTTGATCCTTGTTGTTGTCTGTTTCTTTGCCTTGCCCTTATTTCAGCCTGGCTTCCCTTCCAGGATGTCAGTGCTGAGAGGTTCTTGGTCCACGCCTGTCTCCATCTCTCTTCCCCACTCCCTAAACTCAGGACCTAGTCACTCCTGCTCCTTACACACACACTCACACACACTAACACACATATACGCACTCTCACACTCACATTCTACTGCGCCCCCCTGCCCCGACACACAGACACACACACTCCCAACCTGTCTTCGGAAACAAGTTTCCCTCCCAGAACCTTTATTAAGATCTGTAGGGAGGCCGGGTGTGATGGCTAACACCTGTAATCCCAGCACTTTGGGAGGCCATGGAGGGTGGATCATGAGGTCAAGCGATTGAGACCATCCTGGCCATCATGGTGAAAACCCGTCTCTACTAAAAATACAAACATTAGCTGGTTGTGTGGCACGTGCCTGTAATCCCAGCTACTTGGGAGACTGAGGCAGGAGAATCATTTGAACCTGGGAGGCGGCGGTTGCAGTGAGCAGAGATCGTGCCACTGTACTCCAGCCTGGCAACACAGTAAGACTCTGTCTCAAAAAAAAAATAAAGACCTGTGGGGAATGACCAGGATCTGGGCCCCCAGTGGATCTGTGAGTGTAAACCTGTGTGTGAGCCTATGAGCATCCACGTGGCTGTGGAATTTAGAAAGCATGTGTGCACACAAGTGGGTGTGACAGTGAAGTGCTGAGAGTCGAAAGAGTGTGTGTTTTGGGTCAGTGTGGCCTTGGCTGTGTGGGCACACAGATCAGCTGTGGTGAGGGTGGAAAAATGTGAGTGACTCTCAGTGTGGAAGCTGAGCCCGGGGCAGACGGACGAGTGCACCCTTTGAGCTCCTGTGGAGGCTGCCACCCCATATCTTGCTTGACTACTCCCTCTGTCATCCTGGACTCCCTCAAATCAGGACGGGGTGCGTGAAAGGGGAGTGAAGCTGCTGACCTGTAGGAAGGGGCCTGCCACTCCCTAGGCCTATCAGCCACTGATTTATTCCACATTCCTATAAGTACTTACAAATCCCGGTTTCTGAGGAGCAAGACAACCTCTGCCAGCCAGCTGGAGCTGGTGGGTAGGGAGCTAGGGGGCGAGACACATGGGGGAGGAGAGAGGGACCACACCAGAGGCTGGCATCAGGGACTCCTGAGTTCAGCTCCTAGTTTTGCCAAAGGTTAGCCTGGGCACCCCCATATGTCTTCATCAGGAACTACAGAGCCAGAAATACCATCCACACCTCTGCCCCAGGAAGCAGCCCCTGCCTCTGCCTGATGAAGAGCAAGACTCCCCCTTGACAGCTAGCTTTCTGCCTTGTAGTTACATCTCTCAAGCAGGGATAAAGAGAGGAGTCTTCATGCTTTTGTTGTCTCACTGTGTTGCCCAGACTGGTCTCAAATTCTTGCCCTCAAGTGATCCTCCTGCCTCTAGCTCCCAAAGCACAGAAATTACAGGTGTGAGCTGCCACACCCAGCAGCTTCTTACTCTTTAAACAACACACAAAATTCTCCTTGAGTTCCTGAAGGGGATTGTCTCTTCGAACTCCAAATCTTTCCAGGACACCTTGATCATTCCATCAGGCTTTCTAGATTGGAGGCAGAAGAAACTGCAACTCATTGACCCCTATGTCTTACATGGCTGGAGCAGGAGGAAGAGAGCACGCAGGGAGGTGCTACACACTTTTAAAAAACCAGATCCTGTGAGAACTCTATCATGATGACAGCACTAGAGGAATGGTGCTAAACCGTTCATGAACACTCTGCTCCCATGATCCAATCACCTCCTACCAGGCCCCACCTCCAATATTGGGGATTACAATTCGACACAAAATTTGGGCGGGGACAGACCTATAGCACATGAATAACTGGTACAGATGGCATGTAAAACTGAGACAGAATGAGGTCATTCAGGGACTAAGTATAGACACAGAAGAAAAGGAAAACTGAAGGCTGAACCTATGGCCTCGCTCTAATTTAAATAGGTCAGGTAAGAGCAGGGGAACCAGCAAAGGCAGCTGAGAAAGAACATTCAGAGCTGCAGGTGGAGTACTGTGAGACAAGCGAATCAAAGAGAGAACAGGAGGAGTGGGGCCAGAGTATGTATTGACCATTCTTTTGTGAAGTTTTGCCACAAAGGGGAGTGGAGAAAAGGTGCGGGTCCTGGTATAGGAAATATGGTCAAGACTAATTTGCTTGTTTTGAAGATGAGAGGAATAGCTGCATGTTGTGTGATGATGAGAAGAGACCAGAAGAAAGGGAAATAGTAATGACGGTGGAGAGAGGATAGGATGGCTGGAGTGACATGCTGGAGCAGTAAGAGATGATGGAATTCAGCAGTCCAGTCCAGCATTCTTTGGGTAGACACTGCAGTGGTTCATCCACAGTCACAGGCAGGCAGTAGGAGGCAGATGGGTGGAGATGGACGTGGGAGTTTGTGGAAGACTTTTACCACTTCTATTCTCTTAGCAAAGCAGGAGGCAAGGAAATGGGAGGCAGTGGGAAAGATTGAACAGAGAGGAGGAAGTGCGAAATACTCACTTGGAAGAACGAGAGATGGAATAGAACAGGCAAAGTATGATTAAAGTGAAGACTGCTGGCACGGTCCTGTTTTCCTCCAGCCATGTTTAGTTGTATGGTTGTGGCATGGAATGCATGGAGAGCCGGGTTTATCCAGGGCTTCCATCTTACCAAGCAGATAGGAGGTGACAGGGAGGTGGGTGAATTGAGATGTTCAAGGGACTAATGAGAATGATTGGCCACGGAGTTTAAGCTGGCTCACTAGAGAGGGAAAAGTAATTAAGGAAGGAATAAACAGTGAACAAGTAGTAAGATGTGGATTGGAGTTGCTGGTAAGGTTGCAGGAGTTTTGTTTCAGGGCAGTGTACGGAATAACCTGAATAGCTAGGAGGCGGTGGTCAGAGTGGGATACTGTGGGGGTTGCAGTCTTTGGACCTGACAAGGTCTAAGGTCTGATCATGGAGGGAGGGGGAAGCTGAGGTAGGGCAGAGGACAAGAGTGGGCTTTGTGAGACCAAAAGGGTGTTAGAATGATTATCTTCCCGGATACTGAAATCTCCAAGAAGTAGGAGGCCTAGTGTGAAGAAGTTACAATATCCTAAGCTCTTCAGGGATAAGGGAAGTTTGCACCATGTGGGTAGCCTCCCTAGTCCAACACTCAGTATATAGTGTATGCAGAGTGAATGCCTGGGGGTTTTGAGAACAAGGTCCCTGTAAGAGGACCTGAAGCCTAGGGCTCTCCGTGACAGGAGTGGCCTGGTTTTTTGGTGTAGAATTGAGCCTTGAGTATACCGGTGGGATCATATTAAAAAGAAACCCACCAAGATTAGAGGAAGATGCATCCTCTGACAATGTATGCTCTGTAGGCATCCCAAGTAGCTGGGCTGGAGGTTAGATGGACTCCAAGGCATTTCCTCAGATGGGAATGGACGGAGCCCTGGGAAGGCAAAGCTGTGCAGGAAGAAAATGGCCACATGCTGCGTTCCCTCCGAGGAAGCCCCCTTCCCAGGAGCACTGAAGGTAAGGCAGTTTAGGCTGGGTCAGTTTGTCCCTGTCCTCAGAGTCTGTTGGTCCTGGCAAAAGAGGGCCTTATTTTATTTATTTTTCTTTGAAATAGTATCTCGCTCTCCCGCCCAGGCTGGAGTGCAGTGGCTCAATCTCAGCTCACTTGCAACCTCCGCCTCCAGGGCTCAAGCGATCCTCCCGCCTCAGCCTCGAGTAGCTGGGACTACAGGCGCCCGCCACGACGCCGGCTAATTTCCCCCTCCCCCCGCCCCTCAACCGCGAGAAGGGGTCTCCCTATGTTGCCCAGGCGGGTCTTGAACTCCTAGGCTCAGGCGAACCTCCCGCCTCGGTCTCCCAAAGTGCTGGGATTACAGGCGTGAGCAACCGCACCCGGCCAAAAGAGGGCTTTAGGGCACCCCGGAACGCGAGATGTCCCTCATCTGTCATCTTTAAAGAGGAGGAAGTGGACTCTCAATCGAGCGATAGTCCATTCCTCCCCGGCACGGTGACCCCGCGGAGGCCAGGACCAAATGTGTCTCCTTCCGGCTTGTGTAACACACCAAGTTACCGGCGCCAGGTCGCACAGCCGCCCTGGCCTTCCGGGAGGACTCCTGTGAGCGCGGTGCACGCTGCTGGGGAGTACCACTGCGGGAGTTGAGGCCGCTGATTCCGAGGGCGGGAGGGGCAGAATCAGAAGCGAGGCGGACCCTTCGGACCGCACTGCGTGAACGGCGCCTGCGCGTACACTCAGCTATTCATGACTCGTTCTTCCGGCTCTCCACTGAAAGTCGTCCCCCGGCAGGTTTCTTTTTTCTGCCTTCTTGTTTCCCTCCGGCGAGTCAGCGCGATGGTGAATTTCCGTTTCCGGTGGCTTCCATGCGGACTTGAGGAGTTGCGATTTGTGTTCCGATTCAGTGCCTGGCTGTGGTAGGTGGCGGTAAGGTCCCTGGGTCTTGGGCACTGGGAGGCTCGCCAGTCGTGCAGGTGGGAAGGTCGTTCCCCGGTCCTCCGGGTCATCTTTGCTCCGGAGAATCGGCATATTTCGCATCTATGGGACGCGTGCTGTGGTCGTTGGAAGAGTGACGGGACGGGGAGGGAAGGTAGCAGAGAGACATCGTTTCCCGGAGATGGGGTCCTGGCAGGCGACTTAGACCTGAGCCGGATCTGTTGACCCCAGTTGTGCTTTTCCCACCAAGAAGAAAGACATGGAGAGAAAAACATTACAAGTTCGGAACTAAAATAGAGAAGAAACGTAGTCTCTGAAATCACACAGCTGCTGTTCAGTTTCAAAGCGCACCTAGTGCCAGCTCTCCTAACTTTCGACCAGCGCTCCTTGAATTTCTGTTGATATATAAAGACTTAATGGGCCAGGCGGGGTGGCTCACGTCAGTAATCCCAGTGAAAGGCCGGGATGTGCGGATCGCGAGGTCAACAGATCGAGACCATCCTGGCCAACTTGGTGAAACCCGTCTCCAATAAAAAAGAAAAAAAATCAGCGGGGCGTGGTGGCGCGTACCTGTAGTCGCAGCTACTCCGGAGGCGGAGGCAGGAACATTTCTTGAACCCGGGAGGCATAGGTTGCAGTGGCGCCACTGCACTCCAACCTGGCGACAGAGCGAGACTTGTCTTAAAAACAAAACAAAACAAAAACTTACTTTTTCCACACTGGTGTTTGTGCCTGTGGGAAGCCACTGACTCACCTTCATGCTCCAGGGCAGTCTTCCTATGTATTCCTCATTGTATGGCATGGAAGATACTAGTTTGGATTTCCCTCTGCAAATCAGATCATAGCTGTACCCATTTACTGGCACAGTGCCTAGCACATCATAGACAGACACAAATATTTATTAAACGAAATTAATACAGTACCTTAATTGAATGAAATGGCACCCTGCCCCACCTTTTTAAAAACAAGCTGTCAGATTTTATGTACCCCGATTTCCTAAAAGCTCACTAATTCAGTGATTGCCAGTTTATTGCCACAGATTGCCAGGTAGCTCAGAAATCACTGGAAGGGTCTCTGTAAGTCCATGGAGTCTCCAGGCATCATCTAGAACCAGTCATTTCTCACACGTACAGATAACTGCTGTTTTTCAAATGTATGTAGATGAGTTGTAATTTAGAAGTTTTACAGAGTCAACAGGTACTAAAAGTAATACTACGATCATATTGGAGGTTCATAAAAACGTTTTTAGGCCTGGTGCAGTGGCTCACACCTGTAATCTCAGGACTTTGAGAGCCAAGGCAGGTGGATCACCTGAGGTTGGGAGTTCAAAACCAGCCTGGCCAACATGGTGAAACCCCGTGTCTATTAAAAATACAAAATTAGCGGGGTGTGGTGGTGCATGCCTGTAATCCCAGCTTCTTGGGAGGCTGAGGCAGGAGAATCGCTTTGAACCTGGGTGACGGAGGTTGCAGTGAGCCAAGATTTTACCACTGCACTCCAGCCTGGGTGACAAGAGCAAAACTCTGCCTCAAAAAAAAAAAAAGTTTTTACATTTTTTATTGAAATTTAAGTTTTAGTTTAAGTTAGGAAATCACTTCATTAGTCCCATTGATGTCTAAGTCTGAGCTGTCCAGTATAGTAGCCACATGTGACCATTTATAGAGTGGAATCAATTAAAAATTCATTTTTTCGGTTTCCCTAAGTACATTTTAAGTAACCACATGTGGCAAATGGCTAAATGGCTGAAAAGTACAGATATAGAATATTTCCATCCTTGCATAAATAAATACTTTTGATATTGACACTTAAGATGATTAAAAAGTAACTTAACTGTAAAATGTAACCTTACCAGAGGTAACTCATCTAATTTATAGCATAACAGAAATGAAGTTAGGGATGGTTAAGCAGTCTCTACCCTTGTTCAGTGAGCAAATACATCATCTCTTCTTAAAGAAATAAATGAAATTTACTGTTTTTTCCCTGGGTATTGCCTGGATTGTAAACTGCTTCTCCCACATCCTTACCCCAACCTTCTTCCTTGTAGGTTAGAGTTACTTGTTATTGGTAAATAGCCACTATGGAGGCTAAGGACCAGAAGAAACACAGAAAGAAAAACAGTGGGCCCAAAGCTCAAAAGAAAAAGAATCGGCATCTGCAGGATCTCCAGCTAGGAGACGAAGAAGATGCCCGGAAGAGAAATCCCAAAGCCTTTGCAGTTCAGTCTGCTGTGCGGATGGCTCGATCCTTTCACAGGTATGTTTGGCTACGGTCTGGTGGTTCTTCCGTTGATGCTTTTTAAATAGTAGGAGCCTCTCACAGGTGACATTTGGATTCACGAGTCTAGTCCAGCTCCAGAGGACATGGAGATGCATGCTGGGTGGCTTTCACTAAAACATGAGAAATCTTTCCCATACAAGCTGTCTTGCCTTCAGCATCTGCACACTGGTTGGTTTTTCTTGCCCAAGATAAAGGAATTCATAGAATTTGTTTGTTCCTAAACTTTAAACTGTTTCTGTCGTGATAAATGTGCTTTTTCCCTCTGGATATGTTTTACATAGCTGTAATATAAAATACAAAAATTACTGTATTTAATACTAACATAGCTCTGTTTAGTGAGTCCTTGTGATATGCCTAGCAATGTACTTTAAACATTTTTCAACTAAATGTTTACAGCAGCCTTACCAGAGTAAGGCTGCCCTCGTTTTGGGGATAAGAAAACTGAGGTCAAGAAAACAAGTTACCTCCAATCATATAACCAGTTTTTACCTATTTACTCTTCTATTTAGGAGAGCCAAATTTAACTCTAGAGCTTCTGCTGTTATCTGTTATGATGCACTGCCTCAGTAGTTACCTTTTACCATTAAAGTCACTCATAAAACCCAGTCAGATTTAAGGGGTGTTTAATTTTCAACTCTATATACTGTTGAAGTCATCTTGTTACACGTTATCGAATAGCAATTATTGGATGGGGGCCAGAAATTAACAAGCCAATAATTAACAAGTTAATATATTTATATATTGTCTGTTGTACTCTCTAAAATACTAAAGTACTCTCTATAAGTATACTAAAAAAAAGCCTGCTTATAAGATTGATACCTTTTACTCCATTTTGAAAATGAGTTTACTATTTTTTGTTTTCGTGAATAGAACTCAGGATTTGAAGACAAAAAAGCATCATATTCCAGTGGTTGATCGAACTCCACTAGAGCCCCCGCCAATCGTGGTGGTCGTGATGGGGCCTCCAAAAGTTGGAAAAAGCACTTTGATACAATGCCTCATTCGGAACTTCACCCGGCAGAAGTTGACGGAGATCAGAGGCCCGGTGACAGTCGTGTCAGGTAAGAGATGCTGCCACAGACACAGTTGGCGTGGCTGGTGTCATCTGAGGGACATGCATGTGTTTGTTGTTTCCTTGAGTGGAACATATTAAAGATTGTCATATCATGTTAACCTCTCTTATGCTTTTACTAAGTTGGCTATAGCTTCAGAAAAGGGTAAGTTCTCAGAAATAGGGATGTGATACATGTCTTATTGTGACTGCCCAATGGCTTTGCCAAGTATGTTTCTTGGAAGGGCCTAGGAGGCCTGGTCACCTCGTGAACACATCATTTAACGGATAGCACACACTTCCTATGTGCCAGGCGCACATGCTTGCCCTTATGAAGCCACATTCTGGTGGAAGTGAGTTTTCTCTTTTTCCTGTGATAATTTGTCTGCTTTGGGAGATGGTGACCTTTCCAAGTTTGAGGGAAAATGAAACAAGCTTCCAGTGGTAGAATGGCAATGTACAGTCTGAAACCTTTTGTTATTGCAATAATATAGTTGGATTGAGGCTTTTTTTTTTTTTTTATCTTTGGAGCATCCATATTTTCTTTCTCTTTTTTTGAGACAGAGTCTTACTCTGTGGCACAGGCTGGAGTGCAGTAGGGTGATTACAGCTCACTGCAGCCTCAACTTCCTAGGCTCAAGCAATCCCCCTACCTTAGCCTTCTGAGTAGTGTATGCCACCATGCCTGGCTAATTTTTCCTTTTTTTTTTTTTTCTTTCCCTGTAGAGATGGGGTTTCCCCATGTGACCCAGGCTGGTCTCAAAACTCCTGGGCTCAAGGGATCTGCCTGCATCGGCCCCCCAAGGTTTTGGGACTTAAGGCGTGAGCCAGTGTGCCCAACCCATATTTTCTTGATCATTTTCTTTTTACCTTAATTTAGAAATAATTATTGTTATGAATATTCTGTTGCATTATGTTTGAGGATGTTTTTAGCTATGGTGGGAATACGGGAAGTTTTGATAGAGGTGAAGACATTGGCCTGCAGCTGAACAGCAGGATTGTGGTTATCATGGAGCCTGTCCAGTCAGGATTTTCTCTGTATGAGCACTTTTATTCATCTGGGTAGACTTCTGATATTATTTCAGTTTAGAACACAGCAAGAAAAACAAGATGAAATTTATTTTATGTTACCAGTTTTTGCCTATAAAAATGAACTTCTAGTATACTCCTGTAAACATATACGGCGTTTTACTGGACACAATTAAAACATGAAAATTAGAGTTGATGCTTAGAGTTTTTTCAGAGTCTTTTTAAAGTAAACTTTTTATCTTTTCACTTATAGGTAAAAAGCGCAGACTCACCATTATTGAATGTGGATGTGACATTAACATGATGATTGATCTGGCTAAAGTAGCAGATCTGGTAAGTCAGCAAGGGCAGCCTGGGGTGCTGATGGAGACTTACAGCATTGTGGTGGGTTATTTACACCATGATGAAGGGAAGAAAGTTTTATGATTATTAAAGGAAACATGGTCTTCATGAGGGATACAGTACATGTGATTGAATTGATGATAATAATAAATGTTGTTATATTAATAATAAAAATGGAATGTGCACAATAAAATATATTCCATAATCTAAAAGCAAATCACAAGATGGAGAAAAACCTTTAATGAACACAGCTAATAAGAACTCATTAACTTACGTGTGTGTATATATATACACGTGTGTGTATATATACATATACACATGCAAGTTAATGAGTTATATAATGAACATATGTATATGTGTGCATACATTCAAATATATCGTAGTAAGTACCGTTTCTTCCTGGACCATTCCTGGCACTATGCTAACTGCTTCCTACAAATTTAGCTTACATAAACCCTTGATACACCCTTGAGGTGAGTCAGTATTATCTGTTGTTTCCATAAGATGAAATAGAGGCTCCCAGCAGTTACGTACCTTGTGTGAAGGTGGGACCCTTGTTCCCGATGGTTCCGGAACCTTCCTCCTTAATAGTAATGATAAGTAAGTACATGAATTGCCCTCAAGAAGTGGTCAGAGTTTATCAATTGAAAATCTAGACAGTACTCAGTGTATAGAAAACGTACACGCGTTTGCATTTATGGAAATGGTAAGGTTCACTATTTTCTGATATTCTATTAACTATCTTTTAAATTGACAAAAATAAAATACAAATTAGTAAAAAAAAAAAAAAATATTGATTAGGAAGTGTGGGTGACAGATACCTTGGTTTTTTCATTTTTATTTAGTTTTTTCTAGACAGCTGTTTGGTGTGGTGACAAAGAGCTACATATTTTATACTTTGGTACAGGAAACTCCTAAATTACAAAGTAAAAAGTAATACAGATTTTAAAGTTGTGTCATTGTAATGTCAGGAAGCCAAATAACATTCAAATTTTGAACATGTAATGCTGCTGTTAATAAAAATAAGTGTTGTTATTAATGTAGTATAAGCTTGTTAAATCTTGTATACTTGAAATGATTGGGATAGTTCAAAGAAGTCATTTGTTTCTCTTTTATTTAAAATGTAGCAAGTTTCTAATTTTGAAGACATACTTATTGAGAGATGCCATTACATTTTTATTTTTAATTATTATGAATACATAATAGTTATACATATTTATGGGGTACATGTGGTATTTTGTTAGAAGCGTACAATGTTTGATGATCAAATCAGGGTAATTAGGATATCTATCACCTCAAACATTTATCATTTCTTTGTGTTAGGAACATTTCAATTTCATTCTTTTAGTTATTCTAAATTAAAATTATAGCCATCCTATTGTGCTGTTGGACACTAGAATTTATTTTATTGAAGTGTATTTTTTTTTTTACCTGTTAACCTTTCCCTCTTTGTCCCTCCCTCCCTGCTACTCTTCCCAGCCTCTTAACCATCATTGAGGCAGATGCCTATTATGTAAACCTTTTTAAGATTTTCAAAAGGAACACAGACATGGTAAAGTACTCTAACTGTAATGCAGGATACACACAATGCACATTTTCTTTTTCCCTGCTCTAACTGCCGGTCTCTCAGATCCCTGCAGAGCAGTATCCTTCCAGATGCATATAAACACACACACCACCCTTTAAAAATACAAATGGTAGCTTATTTGACACACTGTTCTGTGCTTTGCTTTTCTCATGTAATATATCTTGGAGGTATAATCAGTAAGTATTGTAGTTCTGTCTCCTTTTTAATCCATTCTATGGATACACCATAATTTATTTAGCCTACCTTATGTTGCTTACTCTGCTCTGGGTTGTCAAAGCCTCCTGAGTATGCAGAGGCACACACAATATGTAAATTTAGGTTTGTACATGTGTGTGTGGATTAGGGAAGTAACACTGGCTTAGATGACAAAGATTGGCAGCTGAGATACTGTTTGCCCCCTGTTCTTCCTGACCCTACAACCAGCTGCTTGCCCCTTGGCACTCTGTGGCATCAGATGTGGTGTGAAGATATTCAACCTGTCCTTTGAGCTGGTCCAGTGTTGCTGGAGGACTCTGCTTGCTGCTTCAGTCTGCAGTGGCAGCTGTGCTTTCTCACAAGCCCAGCTTCATATATTCTGTAGTTTCAGATTTTGAATGTTTCTCAGTTTAATCAAAGATGGGCATTTCTGTTTCCATTTTTTTGTTATTTTTAGTTATCTAAGGAAAGATAAGAACAGAAGTGTCTTTAATATTAAAACTAGAAGTTTCCAGGAATCAATTCTGAAATTATTTTGCATCTTTGAAGTGTCTTAAATTTTAAAAATTGATCTTACCTGCTTAAATTTTCTTGTAGACTATGATTCATCGTAATTGTACTATTTTTGACTTAATTCAAAAAAAAAAAATTCTGAGCAATTGAGTTATACAAATCAACATATAAAATAAATGTTTCCACTGCATACTTCCCAGCAAAAAACAGATTTTTTTTTTCTATGAGGAGATTAAGACATATTTAATATTTTATTGATTACCATTTTGTTCCCATTCTTTGAGTGTCAAGAGACCTGTTATTTGGCTTAAAAATACCTTGCAGAAAACTTCACTTCTTTCAATTAGGATTTCTTAGGTAAGGTCCATGTTAGACCCAGCCTTTTCTGAGTACTTCTCATACATTAAAATTCTTAAAATGAAAGTTTGTATCCTAGTGGCCATTGTCTTATGGTTGCCTTTTAGAGCGAGACAGAGGGTGGTGGTTTCTCACTAATAGGGTGATGCCTGTTAGTCATTTGATTTAGTCTGGATTGGGACTTTTCTGTCAAGGGCCAGATAGTAAATATTTTTGGCTTTGTGGATCATATCTCTTGCAGCTACTTAGCTCTGCATTTGTAGTGCACAGGCAGCCATAGACAATATGCAAATGAATTACGTGGCTGTGTCCCAATTAAAGTTTAGTTACAAAAACAGGAGTTGGGCTGGATTTGGCCCGTGGGCCAGTTGCCAACCCCTAGTGTAGGTGGTCTGTTTTGGTAGTCTCTTTGAGAAATGATGTGTTCTGCTTTTAGGTACTGATGCTTATAGATGCCAGCTTTGGGTTTGAAATGGAAACGTTTGAGTTTCTAAACATCTGTCAAGTACACGGCTTTCCTAAAATTATGGGAGTTCTCACCCACCTCGACTCCTTCAAGCATAATAAACAACTGAAGAAGACAAAGAAGCGATTAAAACACAGGTTCTGGACAGAAGTTTACCCGGTAGGAAGAGAAATAATTGTTGAATACTAACAGTATAATCCTTTTAAAATAGACTGAAGAGACCAGGTGCAGTGGCTCATGCCTATAATAACAGCACTTTGGGAGACAGAGGCGGGCGGATCACTTGAGGCCAGGAGTTTCGTACTCAGGGCAACATGGCCAAACCTATCTAATAAAAATGCAAAAATTAGCCAGTGTGGTGGCATGCGCCTGCAATTCCAGCTGCTTGTGAGGCTGAGACATAAGAATTGCTTGAACCTGGGAGGCAGAGGGTGCAGTGAGCTGAGATCGTGCCATTGCATTCCAGCCTGGGTGACAGAGTGAGATTCCATCTTAAAAAAAAAAAAAAGACTGAAGAGACATTAGTAAACATCTCTATAGCATTCACCTCCTGAATTTTCTTTGTGTGTGTGTGTGTGTGTGTGTGTGTGTGTGTGTGTTTTCACAGTCTCTGGAAGATTTCCCTCAAGAGACTGCTTATTCTGAGCCTCTTGGTGTATCTCACTGGTCCCTTGTACCTGCTGCACCAGGCAGTGTCTGGCTGTTTTGGGATCGAGACTTTAAATAGAGTATATCAGGAGTTTCTTGGAGTTATAGGACCAGGCACTGCCCCTTCCTTTGCATACTGCTGTGGTTCATTGGCCACAGAACCATTTCTGTGTTCAGAGGCCTCACCTCCTTCTCCTCACCATTCTTAGACACCTCTGCTCAGCTGCAGAGCAGTCTGCCTCTGTGGGGTTCTAATAAGTCCTGAAAGAAGCCAGCAAGGCTCTGGAAGCCTCAGGACAGTGGTTTGCTGGAAGTTTCCCTTCTTACAATTGCTTCTTGTTTAGAGTTTTTATTTTGCAGCAGTATTAATGAGAATTTAATTGAAATTTAAGTTTTAATTTTCCTTTAATGTTTAGGGTGCAAAGCTGTTCTACCTTTCTGGAATGGTGCATGGAGAATATCAAAACCAAGAAATCCACAACCTGGGCCGTTTTATTACAGTTATGAAGTTTAGGCCTCTCACATGGCAAACTTCTCACGCTTATATCCTGGCAGACAGGTAAAAAGTGATTGTAAACTTTTTCTTCCTGGGCCATATATTTCAAAGTTAAAAAGGCTAGAAAAAGAAAAGAACAGTGATAGGATTTATTTTGTGCCAATTTGAATAGTAGGGGTAGAAGTGTAGTTGATGGAAAATGTCTACTTACTTATTGCTCCAAGATGCTGTGCCTTTGGGAGTAAATTAATTACGAGATGTTTAGGAAAATGGGTGGATTTGGAAGCATTTAAGGCTGTAGGATATGACCCCATCCTACGTTCAGCCTCAGTTTTCAGTGATGCTGCCTTGTACCCATGTGCTTTGAGTTCTTCGTGTTTGCCTTCAGTTTCCTTCCTTTGTGCCCTTCCTCACGTGGTTTTCTCAGCCTGGAATACCCTTTTTTCACCTGCCAGAATCCATATCACAGTAAAAATCCCATAGTACAGGCTCACCGTCTTTCAGAAAGGGATTTTCTGAATATGTTCTTCACTCTTCCCTGACCCCAGGTGGACGTCATCTCCCTGTCTGGTTTCTCATGGAATGAATGTCACTTTCAGCCTAGAGACACAGTTGTGTGTCTGTCCCTTTTCCTCTGGTGGATGGTGAACAGTGCTTCCTTATTTCTGCATTTTCTAGTTTTCTAAACAACGTGCTTACCAGACAAGAGTGTGATGAGTCACTGACACATGAAAGGAGGGATAGGAAGTTCTGGCATTCATTTCTGCTGTATGGCTGAGTTTATTTTTCTAGGATGGAAGATTTGACAAACCCAGACGATATCCGAACAAACATCAAATGTGACCGGAAAGTGTCTCTTTATGGTTATTTAAGAGGAGCACACTTGAAAAATAAAAGCCAGATTCACATGCCAGGTATTGTCTTGTTGTTAGAACATGCTAGAATTACACATAGGATTCTCGAGATTGCTTCGTTTCTCAGGAAAACTGAAAAATGACCAAACAAGGGAAGATGGCCTTGCTGGAGGTTTTAAACCCAGCTATGTATAGGCCTGCAATGGTGTTATCGAATCCTCTCCTCTGACTTCTTGTCTTGTAGTGAGAGGGGCACTATTCCAGTGTGCCACAATGCCCTTTAGTGTCGTGCTTTAAGCCCTTGGACTGTGGATTATTTTTACCCCCACAGTGAACAATAGGTACTTACTGACTTCTTGTCAGCTGAAGCTGGCTTTTTAAAAGGGTCCTGTCTTCTAGGTGTAGGAGATTTCACCGTGAGTGACGTCAGTTTCCTCCCAGACCCTTGTGCTCTTCCTGAACAACAGAAGAAGCGCTGTTTAAATGAGAAGGAGAAGCTGGTTTATGCGCCTCTTTCTGGAGTTGGGGGTGTGCTGTATGACAAAGACGCTGTATATGTTGACCTTGGTGGCAGCCACGGTTTTCAGGCATCGGTGAGACACAAGTCATTGTTCTGAACTCTCATTCTTCTTTCCTAATCTATTTTTTAACCACAAAAGTAATGTACTCAGCTTTTATTTCTTGAAGACTTTTCTCTTGTACTTATAATAAAGGTCTAAATGCATATTGTAAATATATAGAATAAAAAGAAAACTTTTTTTTCATTATACCAAGAAGAGTCCTGTCCATGCCTCCTTGATCCATGGCCCCAGTGTGGGCACTGCTGCCAGTGGTGCCTGCATGGCCCATCCTCGTTTCTACAAAATCAATGTGCTTTCCAGCTCTCATTGGTCTTTTTCTTTTTCTCATTCCCAGTGATCTCCTTTGTGTTTTAAAGTGGGCTTCAAATGTTTATTTCTTGGTTCTGAAGTTGAATTGTATTGGGTTAAAATCAGGGTTATTTAAAAATGTTAGAAAAGCTAGCATTGTGGTTGTAGCACTGGAACTGAGGCTTTTTAAGCTAGGTTTTTAGGTTTTTATACTCCCTGAACTTTGGAAAAGTTTAATGGAGATGGGGATCCATTTCAGGCTTTGTTGTAAAGATTTTCTTCTCTGCTTTTCGAGGCATTAAGAAAGGTTCTCAGGAAATGTGTCTAAGGTAATTTTGAGAAACTGAGTGAAACCAGTGTCTCTCCAGGATCTTTATACTTTCCTCACGTCCCCTTTCTTGGTGCTGTTGACAGGATGAGGTGGGGTCCACCCATGAGCTGGTCCAGAGTCTCATCTCCACCCATTCCACCATTGATGCCAAGATGGCTTCAAGTCGAATGATGCTGTTTTCTGATTCCAAGGCACTTGGGTCAGAGGATATAGATAATCAAGGGTAAGTCTGCTTTTTTTCTATTTTTAATAAAAGGATGTATTACAGAAGATGCGTAGTTCTGCCATCAGAACACATTTTGGTGGGATTAATTCCAGATTGTTTTGTTTTTCTTTGTGTGTGCATGTATCTCTGAGGGCTCTTCACATACCTGACATTACAAGGGAGTATTTTCTTGAAATAAAATACAGGATGCATTTTTCAAGACCCTAAATATTACTCAAATGCCACACCATCTTCCATAGGTTGCTTTTTGTTTTTAAGAGACCTGAGGCCACTGGGCTTTCTTTTGGTGGCCAAAACGCTAGAGCAGAGTCAGGGAGTTTGTGGCTGCCCAGAAGCCATGTGCCTTGTCTCTGAAAGTTTTGTTTAGATTATGTTTTATTATCTCCTGTGGGTAGGTTTCCACTGATGTGTGGCTTATGTAAATTATTTTTCAGTCTAGGTTGGGAATTTGTGTGCCTTTATACATAATGGATGTTTGTAAAACATTGGTTTTGTTGTATTGATTTATGACTCCCAGTAAAATTTTTCTGAAAATTTGTTGCAATGTACATAAACCACCTAGCACAATGCCTGACAGATACGAAGTGTTCACCGAAAGATCACTCTTTTATAATGAGCGTTATGAGCTGTTTTCATTTTTGCATATCCTTCTAGTCATCCTTGTCTATAAGAATACTCCCTTCTAATGTAGTTACAGTTAAAATACATAGTTTTATTTCTATATTCCGAGCATTTCCTTTTTCTATACAGTCTTTGTGTAGTCATCATGTTGTTATTATTGGTGTATTCTTTTTGTTTGTTTGTTTTTGCGATAAGGTCTCACTTTGTCTCACAGGCTGCAGTGCAGTAGCATGATCTTGGCTCACTGCAACCTTGAACTCCCAGGCGCAAGTGATCCTCCCGCTTCAGTTCCCCAAGTAGCTGGGACTACAGGAGTGTGGGAGCCTTCAGCCTGTCTCCTGTGTCCTTTCAACCACTCCCGGCTAATTTTTTTATTGTTATCTAGAGAAGAGGTCTCACTATGTTGCCTAGGTTGGTCTAGAACTCCTGAGCTCAAGCTCAAGTCCTCCTGCCTTGGCCTCCCAAAGTCCTGGGATTACAGATGTGAGCCACTATGCCTGGCCTATTATTGCTGTATTCTAACTTACCATCTCTTATGGTATGATTTTTAGTTTTTTCTAATTTATGTTTTCATAATTTAAATATCATGCTACATTAAACAGCTTCATACAGTTTTCTTTCATTCTGTGATTTTAGCCTCCTGATGATTATTCTCTGTCAATTGTGGCACTGGTGACTTAAAATGGATTTTATTCCTCGGTCACTCCTCCTACATTTGTTAGCTGGCATTTTTAACAAAGAGCTTTCACTTCTCCCCTTTATTTCGGTATCACTGCTGACTAATGCACTTGCATTTTATTCCATGTGTTATTTTCTATCACTATCATTATTCTTTCTGATGCCTGTGCTGTCTCAAATTCGGCCGCGGGAGTCTTCAGCCTGTCTCCTCTGTTCTTTCAACTGTCTTTGTTAGTCTTTGAGTGTTTCTTACCTTCTGACAGAAAAAGAGGATCAGGCTCATTTTGCCCTCTTTCTGCTTTGGGCCCAGACTCAGCCATTTCTCTTAAGGATCATGTGTTTTTAGCTTAGAAATAAATCAGCTTTCCAAAAGATCTACAAAATATTAACTTCCCTTTTCAGCAATTTTTTTCTAAAATTAGATTTTTTTTTTTTTTTTGAAGAAGGTTATTCCTTTATTCTCTCTGTAAGTTTTTTTTTGAAGTGTGGTATTAGGGAACCACGCCTGAGTTTGCTTATTAACTCTTACAATGTTTATCGGATCATTTTTTTTCTTTTTATTTTTATTTTTATTTTTTTTCCCATTTATTTATTTTATTGCATTTTAGGTTTTGGCGTACATGTGAAGAACATGCAAAATTGTTGCATAGGAACACACGTGGCAGTGTGATTTGCTGCCTTCCTCCCCATCACCTACATCTGGCATTTCTCCCCTTGCTATCTCTCCCCAGCTTCCCA